GGGGTCCCTGCCACATTTCAGTGATTTGCTTCAGTGATCCCCACTGGGACCAGCTGCATTGAGCCAACAGCGGGGGCCAGCCCTGTGGACTGGGTCCTGGGCAGCCTCAGGGTGCAGTATCTGCCAGTCATGCCATTTTGGAGCAGGGCGGATGTGTCAGGAGGTTTTGGGACTCCCGGGCTGTCCCAGTGCCTGGAGCTGGGGAGCAGCCAGCAACCTGTGCAGGCAGCGGGTGGGCAGGTGGCTGAAGATAAAACCCTGGCACTGAGGCCACGTGCAGGAAAGCTGGTGCTGGGCCTGAGCTGTGGGGTTGAAACTGCTCTCCGAAACCGCATGGTGTAGGGCAGGCTGCCACACAGCGCTCTCAAGGCAGGCTCCCGCAGCATGGCTTCCCTTGCTGGCCCCCAGGCTTCCTCTCCTTTGGCTACTGGGTTGCTGTCAGTCTTGCTGGATGGTTTTTTTCTCACTTGCTTGTCACTAGCAGTTGGTGTGAATTGCATTTTTTTCCTCCCCCTCCCCTTTAAAAAGTAAAAAGCCACTGGGGGTTATTGCAGAGGTGCTGGCAATGCTACTCCGGGGGTGTGAGAGTGGAGTGGGACAGGGAGGTGTGTGAGCTCAGGGTCCAGGCGTCCGTGTGCCCTGACCTGCAGCAGCAGGAGAGAATGCCCAGGCATAGTGGGAGTCAGGGCTGCATTGCTGGCTGGGAGGAGAGAGGAAGAGGGGAACAAAAGGCCAGGCTTTGTAAGGAGGAGGTGCTGGGAAGAAACATCTCAGCAAGCAGAAGCGCAGCTTGAGAAAGAGTCCCAAGTGTGGTGGCAGGCAGCTGGGGTTTGGGATTGAGAAGAGCCAGTAACCATGTCACAAAATGCAGCAGTACTCCCTTTACTGACCCCGTCTCCTTTCCTGCCGCCTCATCTGCTGTGGCTCTGCCAGTCCTCAGCCTCTGCCAGCTCCTTGTACAAAGCTTTCCATAGCTTCTCCCGTACAAACTCCTAAAAAAAAAAAATCATTACCTAATGCTGTATATTGCATAGTTTGTCTCTGGTTTTCCTTAACATCCCGGTGGTCTATGAGTAAATGTCATCCCCTCTGTGCAATATGCAGCTACTTGCATAGGAGCACGTGGTGAGCAAGACTAAGTGCAAACTTTCTAATTGCTGTTCCTTCAGAGCTTGCTTCCCTCCCAAGCAAGAGCACTACTTTGACCTCATCCTTAAGCCCTTGTTTATTGGTGTATCTAGATGGCTTTTGACCCAACTCCTTTTTGATGCTGAAGAGAGAGATGCTGTTTGTCTAAACCACGTTTAAGCAGTAATCTTGACATAATTTACAATGCAACTATAGTCCCCACCGGTCTGTGATGTAGCTGCGCCATGCGCTTGTACTTAGAACATCTTGCTTTGCAAGTATTTTACTGGACTGCTGGATTTTGGACTGGTGAAACACTGGTAAATGGTTATTGAAATGATGCTGTGCCACTCATGGGCTCTGGGTAATCTGTAAAGTTAACAAAGTGGGACTTACCAGTGAAATGTTTATAATTTGCTTTGTTCTGTGTGAAGCAGATGAGTGTGACTGCTCTCTCAGGCCTGGAAGGCTTGGCTCTGCCCAGCTCCCATCACCTTTTATCCAGCCCATCCACTGCAGCGGTGAGACCTTGGCCTCAGCCCCACAAACCATGGCTCAGGGCTGAGGAGGGGCAGAATCGTGGCATTTTGCTGGTGCCTAAGGGGACTGGGCTTCTGTTTGTGCATGTTGTGCAAATACTGAAGAGGCAGTAACCCGTCCTCTAGCAATTTGAAAAATTAAACTGATCCTGTTCACATGAATGGATGCTAACTGTTTTAACTGCTATTTGTTCATTATCTTCGTATCTCTTTGACCTTTGTTTCAATAGGCTTTGTATCTTTTGTCTTTTTTTCTCTCTCATTTTCTAATCCAGGAAGCTGTTGCAGAGGTTCTTATTTAGAAAGTGCTTTGTACCTTTTTTTTTTCCAAAGAATACAGAAATCAGACATACTAAGAAAGGAAAAGACATGAACTAATTAATTTTCTTGATTTGTTTCTAAACATTGGACTTCATCATTGTCTCAATACATATTTTTCCAGGAACCATCACAGTCAGACTACGTCTAGCAGGATTTCCCTCAGTGAACAGGTTTAATCCATTATCTGGGGTGCTGGAGGCCAGGCTGTCCCAGATAACCACCGTGTAGGCACTTGGGCAGCTCCAGAGAGTCAGCTAGGATTGACCACAGCTGACACAGGGCTACAGCTAAGTCCCCTGTGCTCTTGACTTCTCCTTCATAGACCTCTACATCTTCTGCTCAAGCTTCTCCTGGTCTGGGGAGTTTATTAGTGCTGGAGAAATACTGCACTTGAGATGACAGTGTCACCATGTGAACATGCCCTGCTTCAGTACAGGAAAAGGGGATCCAGGGCCAGGATCCCCAAAGCTTTCTTCAGCAGCATCTCAGATACCCCCAGGCTTCCTGGCTCTGTGCTGGGCTGCTTGCCTTCCTTACATTGTATTTCTGATCTCGGTGCAGTGCTGGAAAACCCTGAGCTGCTTCTGGACACGTCCAGCTTGAGGCCAGGATACGCTGGGGCAAATTGCTCCACTGCGCAAAAGCAGCTGAATTCCTGCTAGAAACAAATTACCTCTGGATGCTGTACAGCTGTATTCCCCAATGCAGTATTTTAGTTACTGAGTCTAATGCAATTCAAGCTAGTTTTGTGTTGAACCAACTGTGGCATAAAATGTTGTCCTGTGACTGTTTAGAAGAAAAACTCTAGGAAGCTAATCTTAGCTTGTTTGTTGGTTTAATATACAACATTGGGCAAATAATTTCATCTCCCTGTCTCCATTTACCTCATGTATGTGAGGTTTTATAATGTTGAAAAAATGCGGTGAAGCTTATTGTTTATAAAGTGCTCTGAACCTTTTTTAAAAAATGATAGAAATAGGAAGAAGGAAAACCACCTGGAATATTAATTTATATTAATGGATTTGTTTTTAAACACATGGTTTAAAAAAAAACCAAAACTGAATGCAAACTCCTAGTTCAGACAAGCAAACAAATCTGCTGTTTGGAAATATTTGTTTTTTTCTGGCTGTGTTGGGCTCTCAGTGGGAGTTGTGATTCTATCATCTGTTTGAGAATTCACAATTACATTGCCAAGTACCCAGGCACGGCTTTTCAGTCATGCTTTATACAAATTGCACACTTGAGCAGTGTGACAGGTCATCATTATTAACTTTACTTCTGCGAAGGAGACCTCCTCACAGTGGTGAGTGTGTACTGCCTGAATGTCATCTGCAAGTTTCTTCTAATGAAATTGTCAGCGTGGCTGGATGGGCTGGGAAGAAACCCCAGCGTGCAGAACAGTCCTGCTCTCCATGGTGGAATAACTCAGCACCTTGAAGCGCTGCACTGAGTGGTTCAACTACACTCCATCACATGTGGTTAATAAGAATTGCCATACTTTGTTCACCTTAGGAAGGAGATGAATCATACCAATTCTTTTCAATTTATCTTCATCGAAGGGCTTCACAGGCTCTTGATCATTCTCTTCTCTTTTGAAGTCTCTCCAATTCTTTGTACAAAGCACAGCTCAGATTCATTTTTAAGTAATTTTTTTTTTAATAACTGTAATACAACCTTTCATTTGGGAATGGTTTTGGAGCAGCGTATTGGATCTGTAGTTACTTAGGCTTCTTAACCTCAATTGTTTTGGTTTTATTTTAGCTAAATTTGTGAACTTATATGTTTATGAACTGATAGAGGGGCAGTTTCATTAGTTTTAGCTGCTGAAAACCAACAATATTACTGTGCCCTGCTTGATGGGGTCAGGGTATAAACACATCCTGAAATGTTGACTAGGAAATTAACACCATCGTCTTCTGAGTAACAATTTTATTGAGCTTTCAATTAGGGCAGTAGTAGATTTTTTTCTCCTTCAGAAAAGATTCTTCTTTTAAAAACAAATAGTAAATAAAAATCTTCTGGGGGAGATCCATCCAACAAGAGGCAACCAGTTGAGGTTCCTATGCAGGGAATTCAGGTTTAAAACCTTCCTCTTGACCAGAAAACGAAACAGGGTATCTCATGGATGTGTCCCGGTACTTGGAGTAAAAAGCCTGTCTCTCCTCCCCATGGTTTCTCTCTCATAATTAAGGGTCTCCAACCTCCCTGAACTGGAACCTCAAGAGAAGCCTTACAGAGAAGACACTGCAGCTTTACGGTTACAATATATATCCTGGAATACGATGGGAGATGCATCTTCAAATTCCTGTTCTGAATAAAGTAGTAGTGATTTTAGCCTGTCTCTCCAGCTGATTAATGATGGTGTGAGTTGGTCTTTACATTTAACACAAAATTTTGAGGAGTCCTTCCCTAAAATTTTGTCCAAACTGATGTATTTTTACACACGTTTTAGTTGGAAGGAATCTCTAACCAGAGCCAGTAATGAATGCCTGCAGGAGATGCTGCTGGGTTTTCCCAGATAACAAATGCTCTGCATGAGGCTTTCTTGCAGTAACCGCGGTGTCAGTGATCCTTGGTTATCTCCATGCAGATCCCGTGCTCGCTCCCTGACCCGTGCCTACAAGCTGCAGGGAGCAGAGCCTGGGCTCTGCAGGTGGGAAACTCCAGGTAAAATGTCTGATGTTGGTTCAAGGAGGTACAACAGTGCAGTACACACCCGGGGACCTTGCAAATATCTCCAGCCTTGGAGATACTCTTAACTCAGCTGGATGAGGTCCTGGACAGCCTGGTTTGGTTGACCCTTTTTAGCCAGGGCTAAACCTTTGGTCCTGCAGTGGTCCCTTCAGACCTAATTAATCCTATGATTCTCATTCAGATTTCTATCTCCTTTGCAAACGGCCAGACTTGCCCTCAAACTGGCTTTTTTTTCATGCAGCACTGCCACATTTATGCTGTCAGCACCCAGTGATACAAATGGCCTTGTTTGTTGATGTATCTGATGTTTCTGTACAGATGCTGTACCAGTTCTTGGACTGACAGACCCAAGACTCTGCTACTTACTGGATGGATTCCTATTCATTTATGCACTCGTCATGACAGCCCTTTTTGTGAAAACGAAGGTCAGTCTATCCAAACACTGATGCATTTGGCTTTGGTGGTGTAAACAAGTTGAGCTGAGCTGGAAAGTGGGGGTGAAGAGAAATCATGTCTCTTAGAATATGACTTTTTTTTTCTTTTCTCCTTTTTTTTTTTTCCTCCTCCTTTTCCAATGCCAACCTGAACAATCTGGGGGAGTTCTTTCTGAGGGCTCATGAATGGAGGAGAAGAGAGTATTTGCAAGTATTTTGATGCTACAGTTACAGATGCAGTCAGAGATTCTGGGTTTTGTAGCTGGGAAATGCCCGATCAACAGTGATGTGGTTTCTTTTGCTGCTTCATTGTTGGAAAGAGAGGAGAGAACATACAGAAAATTCAGGATAAAGGCAAAGCTCCTGAAGGAAGTATTAAAATGTCTCAGGAAGTCAGACATATTTGATTGCATGAGTGTGATGATACAAATGATACAAACCCAACAACCACCTAAAACTGACCTTTTTTCCTGAAAGTTTGACTCTGCAAATAACTGCTCATAAATATTGTAAGGAACAGAGCCAAAGAATAGCTACAGAAGGGAAATTCTTTACCTGCTCGTTAGTTGCGACTTGTGCCAACTTACTGTGGTGGCATTGCAGCCCTCCAAGCCAGGTGCTGCTCCTGAAGGTCGCAGGGATCCCCTGTGCCGTCTGAAGCTGAGGACACTCAGGAACTGTGCAGGCAGTACTTTTGCTGGAGGACTAAGGGCTTAGGGGAGTGCTTTTGGTTGTTAGCAGCCCAAAGATAGACACTTTTCCTTAACACAGGCTGCAATAGTGATTTTATAGCCTGGTGAATCTACTTTGAATAGCACAGGATTATGATATGCACAGAATAGGAATGCAAAATCAGTGGGGGGAAAAAAACCCACAGATGCTCCGAGTAGCTGTGAACTGGTGTTATGTGCATGTAAAATGACCTGGCTCCGGAGAGCAACCTGGCATGTGGATAAAAGTGCCAGTGCAGCAGTGGCTTGTATTGCATGTAGCCCCATCAGTTGCCACGGGTTGTCTGCTGAGGGCTTGCCCTGTTTCTGATTAGAGCAACTTCAAGGAGAGAGGGAACAAAAGGACTGAATTAAGCCTCTGTCTCTCCGCTCACGGTACGGTTTTTCTTCCAGCTTAGCCAGGCCTCTGAACCACAACTGCAACCAGGCCAGGACGATGTGTACAATGTAAGTAACTACTGGGTTTGTTTGTTTTCAAAGCTCCTACCCAGACCTTTCTGCGCACTTCTAGAAAGTGAATTGTCTGTGGATCAGAAAAACTGTAGATGACCCAGCTAATGAAAGCGCTCTGCCCAAGTGTGCAGCACAGCAGTTATGAGGAGGAAGGATAAAACCCGAAAAGGGCAGCTTCTGTTGTCACTTATCTGTCTGGGTGCTAGATAGATACACAGACTGTAGGTTCCTGATTTGATCCACTGTGCTGAAGGTATACCAGGAACCCAGACCATTTCAGGACTTGGTGTGCTGCACCACGTAACACGCCTGTGAAAGCGCTGTGGGTGTGTGTGGGGGGTGTGTGTGTGTGCGTGCGCGTGCGTGCGTGTGTGTGTGCGTGTAGCCACAGACTGTTACACATGGTGTATGCACCCCAACTTCGCGCCCAGCCCTCTGCAGCTGGCTTGCAGCTCTCGCTGGTCACCATTCTTTGGGTGACTCACAGGCACACCACCACCATGTTGCTGATGTTATTTGATGTGGGCTAGAGACAGGGCAAACACCCAGGAATGCTGCATCACTGACTTTGGACAGCGGTAGCTCTTTTATCATGGAGTGTGCGGAGCCTGAGTCATCAGAGCCCAGGTGTCCTGGAGCTTTCCTGTTGCCCCACAGCAAGACCTGTTGTACCAGATCATAACAGAGGCACACCTTGTCCACTGTGCCCTGATCACAGCCAGCATCAGATGGCAGTGAAAGAGGACAGAGACAAGAGCCTGTCTGTCCTTCCTAGCTAAACTGCTCACTCACTGCAGCATTAAGCTCAAGCTATTTTTGCTATGTCTAGTTGTCTTTTGATTTTAATTTTTTTCTCTCACACTTTTGACCATAGCCACATCCTGTGATGAGTTCTACTGTTTAACTGTGTAATGTCTGAACATTAATGCCTTTTTTTCAGTTTAAGAACTGTTGCCTGTCATCTTTTCAGTAGCACTCTGTCACTGTGTTATTCTGACCTGAAATCTCTCCTTTGCCCTCTTCCAAGGTAACCTTTGGCAGATAAGAAATGTGTTGTGCATAAAATCTCTGCAGCCACTTGATGCACATTAAGATGAGTTGTTCTGCAAGAAAACTCAAGCTGGTGGATCTTCACCCACCAGTTGGAAAGAGAGCATGAAAGTCAGAGTCCCTCCCTCTCATACACTAATTTTCAGCTCGTTTCTACTTAAGAAAGGTTCTTGGTGCACTGCTTTGCAGTTACGTGCTTGCCACTTTTTGTCATTTCCATGGCTTAGTTGTAAACATTTTTGTTGACAGGTGCCTTAAGGGGTAAAAATAATTTCTAGCTCAGTTACAGTACTCATGAAGTTGGACACCAGACTGGGTTCCCTTCCTTTTCCTGTGTTAAGTCAAGATCTATTTTCTCATGATTGTAACGTCTGTCACTGCTTCTTGCTTTCTCATTTCAGAAACTGTCTCGTGGACACAGAGATGAATATGACGTTCTGGGGGCAAAGCGAGGTACAGACCCTGAGCTGGGCGGGAGACACCAGGTAACTTCCTCCCACACATGCACCTTTTTCTTTTTATCTGATTCCTTCCTTCTCGTGTCTAACCGCTGTTTAGACATGCAGGCAGTCATCACGCCTTTGCTTAGCACCAGTGCCTTCCTGGAGAGGGAGCAGCAAAATCTGTGTAGTAACTTGGGTGGCTGGCAGCGTGGTGGGGACAAGAGTAAACCTTCCCCCCCTCCCCTTTGATCTTTGCCCCTTGCTTCCCCCGCCCTGACTTTGCTGAGAGCTTGCAGCCACCCAAAATAGGAAGTGACACCCAGCCTTGCGGCGGATGTGGAGCAGGCAAGGCCGGAGCGGGTGTTTCACGAGAGCCTGCTGCATGTGATGCCGCCAAACGTGCCAACCAAGTAAAGCAGCAGCCAAAACGACTGTTTCTGCTGTAGAAGGTTTCAAAGGAAAAGGGAGGAGAAACCTTCTGCATTGGCATGTAGGGATTGCCTGCAGGTGACAGCTGTGGGGATTGAGCAGAGAAGGGCTAAGTTTTATCAATTATTAAAATTGAATTCATTTTCCAGAGAACAAGTTGTCTTAACAGAGCTTTATGGGTGGAGGCAAGATGGGCTGTAACAGGCACGGCCCATCCGTAGAGCTGTAGCTGTGCCCTAGAGCAAATGCGCGGGCACATACGTGGTGGTGGGCGATGCTGGTAGTGCAACACATGGGCAACTTTCTCCTTTTGTTTTACAGCAGAGAAGAAAGAACCCTCAGGACACCGTCTACACTGTGAGTAGAGAGAGCTGGAGGAAGAACAGAGGGAGGGATGGCTGGAAATAGGAGTTTCTATTTCATAGACTTTTTTTCCCCTTGCCCAATTTCAGCTTTGGTTCAAACTTAACAGCTGCTTTCAACAATGTCCTGTCCCTTCTCTCCTACTTTTAATTTTTTTTTTTTCTTGGAAAACTTCTGCTCCCTTCTCAGTTACAGGAAAAAAACATGACTGACTATTCAACCTTTGTTCATTGTGACTGATGCTTCAGTATTTTATGTGCCTGTTCTCCAGCCTTGCTGGCTGCTCTCTGACAAAAGCCAAATGCCAGTGCATCTGAGTGGCTGCTTAGGAGCCTCTTGATTTAATTGATTTAACTCTGGCTAAATGTGGTGGTCGGTGCTCCAGAGGATGGACACATGAATGCTAATGAACGTGTCTGATTTGGGTCTTTCTGGGTGGTCGGTGGATGCTGAGAAACGAGCTTGTTTCCAAGACTAGCCTTCATCATTATTGAATCAGATGCTCTGATCACAGATGGCTCTAAGTGTTTGGGAACAGCTTCCCTGGATGGAGGAAGGAAGAGATCCTCTTTCTTAAGCTTCACCCTGCAGGGTTACAGATTTCCCTTTTCTCTGGGCCTGAACTGCATGTTCAGTTTTGTCTCCTGAACAAATGCTGCTTAAAGATTTTCTTTGCAGAGCAATGGTGGAGTACCTGGCACCAATCTAGACAAATGACTTGGATGAGGGTAGAGTTATATTCATTTAAGTATTTGGAGATGAAGTAGTATGGATATGCCAAGCAGATTTGATCACGTATAGCATCTTCTTAAATGCACATCGGTCAAGACCCACCACTGTCCCTTCTTTTCTCCAGAATATATGGAAGTTTTGAAGGCAAGGCTGCCCCAGAAGCACGGGCTTGGAGCGCAGTCTCCCAGGGGCTGGTGGCTTGGCTTTTCTAGTAACACACTGACTGTTTCCTCTTTTCCACTTGCAGTCACTGCAGAAGGACAAGATGGGCGAGGCGTACAGTGAAATCGGAATGAAGGGAGAGGTGAGTCCTAGTTTCTTTCGTGGTGAAAGCTTGGGATGAAAAATTCTTCACTGCTGCTCTGTTACAGAGCAGTAGCCCTGGCTGCACAGAGCTGCCTCACACAGGGCAGTCCCCATGTTGTACAGCACCTACAGGCACAGCTGAGAGCAGTGACTTATTTCCTGTAGTAACCAGTGTGCTGCAGTAAATAAGACATGTAGCTATAGCATTACAGTAGCCATAAACCAAGGTGGAGATCAGACAGCAAGCTTTGTCCCATCAGTATTAGAAACACAGCCTGTACACCAGCAGCACCCCGGGGCGGATTGAATAACGTCCAGGGAAAACATTTCAACTTTGGGACAGAAAAATTCTGACGGCTGTCTCAGCAGAGGAGGCAGAAGGTATGAGGTGGGTGAGGAACAGTTGAAGGAAACGACTGGTTTCAAGCGCTGCAGTGTTTGTGGCCCAGCAACTCTCATTAGTTGAGCATGTTCCTCTAGAACACTTCAGAGCTGGAGGTTCAGTTTCCCCCTCCCTGGTCATGGGGGCTGGTCTGCTCTGTAGGCACAAGTATTGCAAGCTCCTCCTTGTGCCTGTCTTCAGACAAGTAATGGGGGAAACGTTCTCCTTCCTCCACCTCCACTCTCAAATATTTAAGAACGAACAGATCAGTTATGTCTACAACTAGCAGCAAATGGATAGGTGTAGCTCTGTGCACCAGCTGCTGGAGGAGGGAAACTTGTGTTGAAAAGAAACCATCTGGGGACACTTGATGGCAAAATGAAAAATTGCTGTGACCTGCACAGGTTCTATTTTATGTCAAAGTGTCTTATATATATAACCTTTCATTTTCCTCTGAAAAGGGAAAAAAAGGGCATTTCAAAACAAAGTTTATCATTAAGAAATGCTGAAGCAACACTAACATTTAACCCCCTTCCCTTTATTATTCTAATGCCCCCTCTGCCATAGTCAAGCTCAGTTCACAAGCTTTGGTTTATGAAGTCTCACTACATTTCTATTAATGTTTCTATTACTGGAGGAATGGGAACACCAAAACCCTTGTCTCATTTACATATATGATAATTTAACAGGGTGCTGTAATTTTAGTTGTGGCAGGCACTGCTCATTGCCCCATGTTCCTGATACAGTCAGTGCTCCACTGCCATGGGGGGCAGTTATGACCAGCTGTGGGCTTGACATGCCAGCCTCTGTCCCGGGGCTGTAAGCTCTGCTGTCCCTGGCTCTCACCTGGAAGTCACACTCTCATGCACAACTGGGCTGCTTTACCTGGAGGCTCCCCATGCCCCTGGGAATGCAGCAGCAAGCAGGTTCAAGAAGATTTTTCTTTGTACCTGGCTAAGTGACCGTGTTTGTGTGCTCTACTTGTACCGTGACAGTCCCAGTACCTATTTTACTGAATCCTGTGTGACTCTGTTCTCAGAAAGCCTCCTCTCCAGTTCGTCTGAACATGTAGACAGCTCACGATATGTGTGCTGGAGGATTTACTTACTTATCTGTGTCTGTCCAACAGAAGGCAGAGTCCCTCTGACACCACCTGACATGCAGCAATTTAAAAAATACAGCTCCATTTCTTACAGGTGTGCATTCAGCATGTAAAACAATTGGTGTCTATGGGAACATTGCCAAACATCTACACATACAGTAAATCAAAGAAATAGCAGCATTGTAACAGTATGACAGGAAAATATGTCAGCAAACCAAAATAATTCCCTTTTTCTTTCCAGTCGTCACCATTTTCTCCTTCCACAGCCCTTGCAGCATGTCTGGGCTGGTCCAGACTGAGCAGGTGCTTTGCCTCCTGCGCAGAGGGTGTCCAGGGCAAGCACAGCTGCTGACCGTCAGTGCAGGATGGGGGAAGTCAGAGGTTTCTTTCCTTTTGCATAATGGGAAAAGTACCCATTAATCTTGGCTTCTTTTTCTTCTTCAAAGCAGCAGAGGCGGCGAGGCAAAGGAAACGAAGGTGTCTACCAGGTAGGCAACACATCTAGCACCTGCTCCCCTTATCTATCTTCATGGCTTAATGGTAGCCTCTACTTACATGTCTTAGCTGCACTGCATGATGAAGCAGAACTTTCAAAGCACCTTTCTGAGGATAGTTACTCATATTCAGGGCAAAGACCAGACTGCTGGTACTTTGATAAAGTGGCTGCATGTTCTAAATATGCCTGGCAGGAGCACTCATTTAGCTGCTCACATAGGAACCACTTCCGCAGTCCTACATCTTGGAGAACCACCTTTTGACTGCGGCAGACAACGCATACAGCTCTGTCTCTGAATTGTTTATTTCTTAAATGGAAACCTTCAGGCTGCCAGACAGCTGTCCTAACTCACAGCATGAGTGGTTCAGCCCATCTCACTGTAGCGCTCGGAGCACACACTGGTCAGCACCTCCAGTCCCTGGGTGCACTGGGGGGTTTCAGTGTTGCAGGGAGTCCCTCACCGGGCCTTATTTGGGGTACTACCCATATTTGTGCCAAAACACATTTTTACTTTCTGTAGAAGCCTGTCACAGACATCTCAAAATGACAAAAATAAATACTGAAAAGTTCTTCTGATGCAGCACATGGCAGGGAGTTTTCCCATAAGGTGGCTTATTTGTAGCTAATGGTACCTTTCTTCAAAACCTGCTCTACGAAGATACTCACAGGTAGCTGGTAAGAAGTGCTATCTATCTTATCAATCTACTCAGTATGCCACTAAATATTCACAGCAGAGGTGGGAAGGGGAGCTAGTTGTTTTACAAGCAGGCCCCGTGTGTCTTGCCACATCTTTGCTCTTGGAAGCCCCAGTTACCTTGGCTCTGTCAGCCTCCTGGGCTGACTGGAGACTCTGCTACATCTTCTACTGCCCCGCTCTTGGAGAAGTCGGTCCTGCAGCTGCAGCAGGGACTCGCACGTCACAGCTGACTTGACTTACCCTGCCCAGAGCAGGCTGGCAGGAGAAGGAGTGCTGTGTTGCAGGAAGGGATGTAAGGGGGATTCCTGGGGCTCATAGCCATCTGAAGCCCTGCTGCAAACTTCTGTGGAGTTACATCTGACTTCCAAATTACAGAGAAGGCTGGAGAACAAAGTTCATTATTTGATGTCTATTCATTTAGTTAGTAGACAAAGTTCACTCCAGCATCGGTTAGCTCTTAATAGTCACTCGTGCAAATAAAATGTACTCTAAAGATCTTTTTAACTGGCTAGGATGAGTTGCTGTAGTCATACGTTCATCACAGTTATTCAGGATGCATCTTGCCTTCAGGCAAGTGATAGCTATTGACACCATACAGCAACTAAGGAATTGCTCATAAGTAAAAAAACCTCTGTAGGAAAAAGAAAATTGGAATTATGCTACTGAGCCCCTGCCACCCTGTTCCTGACCGGTCACCTAAGGAGAACAAAGCACTCCCTCTCGTACCTCACTTGTTTTTCTCTTTTTCAGGGACTCAGTGCAGCTACCAAGGACACTTACGATGCTCTCCAAATGCAGCCTTTGCCCCCCCGCTAAGTGAGGGTCACGGAGGGGATGGGCAAGGGTGAGAGATGCCCACCTGCTTTGGGGAGGAAAGGAGGGAAAGCCTTCTCCATCCAAAACAAGGACTGTGTATTTTCTCAGTGCCACAACCTGCTTTGGTTGGTGCACAGAGGAAATATGTCAGGACTTGGTCATTCCCTTCTCCCTTCCCTCCAGAATCATGTAATTGCAAGCTTTAGGTATTAAAATGTACATATCTGTAAAGTTGTTTCCAATAATAGTGGTTATTAGGCCGATTTTTGTAAGATTAGAGTTGTGGCACCAGACCACACCTACTAACACAGCTGTTTCTGTAACTGTTACTTGCCTTGCAGGGGTATCAAGACATGTAATTATGGTTTTGTTGCATTTAAAGAGCTTCTAAAGATAGGGGTGTAGTTATCTCCTGTAGTATTTATCTTAAGTCTAATTGACACAGGCCAGCTAAACTTTTTTGCTTTAAATTTACCTTTTAAGTAAAAGTGGGGGGATGATTTTTTTTTCTTTAATTATAAAAACTGATATGATGTAACTGTAGTAAAGGTCAGAGCCTAAATGCCAGCTTTTCAGTACAAAGAAAATGAGCACTAAGCTCCAACAAAAGCTGAAGCAATGGCACTGCCACTCATCCAGCACCTGGAGCTAAACAAGAGCCAGGTAACCTGCCTCAGAACCTTCTCAGAAGGCAGAAGATACCCCTCTTACAATGAAAACAAGGAGAATGGACTCTGATAAGGAGAGTAATTCTGGAAAAGTCACGAAAACTCACCCTGGAGAATCCCATTTGGCTGAAGGGTCTGGCTGAAACTCCTGCCCCCTTACATTAGCAACATCTACAACTATCAGTGCAGAACAGGAACCCCTTGCAAGGGTTGGCAGGGTGATTCTAATGGCAGAAACAGACCAAATCTATCACTTCTGGGCAAGAGAAACTACAAACACCAATGTAAATGCAGTTTCCAAACCAGTCTATCATCAGGCTACCTTTAAAAGATGATGCGGATATTATTCCAAAGAGATACTAATTCAGTAGTGTCATGCATTGTTGATTAATTAATAAAGCTAGTGTCAAAGACCTCTGTGTGTGGTGAACGGCTGTGGGAATTGTACAAGCTTGTTAGCTGACACCGTCAGGCTGGCTGCACCAATTTATACCCAGCAGAGTAATCTCCTAGTCAAGCCTGGGACACTATTCCGACAGGAGCTTCGACGCACATCCTGGGAGCTGGGATGGGATGTGGGAAAAATGCTGTAAGCCCAAGTGTAAACAGGACACTTGCCCCCTCCTGCTGCATCCTCAGCTTTGCCAGTGACTTACAAGACTGTGCAGTGAAGCCTGTAAGCAATGCAGCAAGGACAAAAACAGCCCAGAAAAATAAACGGTATTTTAACTTGGGTCAGGAGCTGCCCAGTTCATTCTGCCAGTCCTCACAGAGGGAGAACAGCTAAAGTAAAACTGTGGGACCTGCCCAGATGAGGTTACCTGTTCACTTCTTAAGGGACTGGGTTAGCAGCAGAAAAACTTGCTGAAATTGCTGCTATGTAAATTACAAGGCTGGGCCTCACTTCTTAGGCAGTAGAACTGCATCTGTAGTAGGCACTTGTAGCTCTTGAAGAATATTTCAAAGACACTAAATTGGTGGGGCGGGGGGAACAAACTGAATCATCCCATGCATGGCAATGAATGTTTCTTGCAAAGAATTTCCTAGATCCCGTCTTACTGTTCTTCTGCAAATGACAAGAAAAGTATGAGACAATGGAGTGATACCTCAAAAACCTGAGCTGAAAATTACAGTAAAGTTGCTACTGCAAAGCACTCCTGTTCTTGATGCAAGAACAAGGAGTACTCAAAATATTATTTTTTTTCCCCCAAATCATGATAACCATATTTACAAGATGGGAGGTGCTTCTCCCTCTCTACTCGGCTCTTGTGAGGCCCCATCTGGAGTACTGTGTCTAGGCCTGGGGCCCCCAGCACAGGAAGGATGTGAAGCTCTTGGAGCAGGTGCAGAGGAGGGCCACTAAGATGATCAGAGGGCTGGAGCAACTCTCCTGTGAAGAAAGGCTGAGGGAACTGGGCTTGTTCAGCTTGGAGAAGAGAAAGCTCCGGGGAGACCTCATTGGGGCCTTCCAGTACTTGAAGGGAGCCTATAAACAGGAGGGTGAGCAACTGTTTACAGGGGTTGATAGTGACAGGATGAGGGGGAATGGTTTTAAACTAAGAGAGGGGAGGTTTAGGTTGGAGATTAGGCAGGAATTTTTCACTCAGAGGGTGGTGAGGCACTGGCACAGGTTGCCCAGAGAAGCTGCGGATGCCCCATCCCTGGAGGTGTTCAAGGCCAGGCTGGATGGGGCCCTGGGCAGCCTGCTCTAGGGGTTGGCAACCCTGCCCACAGCAGGGGGGTTGAAACTAGATGATCTGTAAGGTCCTTTTCAACCCAGGCCATTCTGTGATTCTATGATTCTAAGATGTAGAAGTCAAAAGTTTTGTCAGTCATAAAATACCAGCTACTAAACAATGGGGAAGAAATTCTTAGGAAAAAAATATCACCTTTATGCTCTTTATATATAAATGTATCTTGATTTCAAAGAGCGTCCAACGCTTGTTTCTGGGACACCTGTCATGGCTGTAAGCCAAGTCTTCTCTTTGCCTTCAGGAAGCAAGTGAAGCTGTTTTTTCTGTTAGGAGTTGATAATACAGAAGTAGAACAAACACTTCAAGCAGAGTGCAAAATAACCTGGGTTCTCCTACATTTTGACAAGACAAAGAGCATGGAAGAAATCTCCTGGCCCCGTTTGACGCACCAGGGGGAAGGGGAATTAGCCTGACACGTTTAAAAAAAAACAACAAACAAGTGCATACATGTTAAAACACTTGGAAAATGGTTTAATGATGTTTACAACAGAAATGAACTGTACAATTACAGTAAGTTTAATATATATAAAAAATTACAGCAGACAAATGCATCTACACAAAATCTACCTTTTCATTCTGATTTACTGTAATCTACACAATCTCTCAATGCCTACAGCTATCTGTAGGCAGCCACTGGGAAAATAATTATAATAATTATAATAATAAAGGACATCTTTAAAGAGACAGCATTTTGCCTTCCTCCTCACTCCTAGTGTGATCAGCAAGGTTTTGAAATGTGTGGGACTCTCACATTTCAGTCTCAAGAAAAGCCTGGGTTGCATTTGGGTGTGGGTACTCCCATGTGGCCCTCGATTTCAAGTGTTCTGCTGACCTGAAGCCTATGAATGCAGTATATGAGGAAGGACAAGAGAAAAAAACCTCCCAGCCAGTGTAAGCAGGCAGTTGCACAGAGTAGTGAAACCATTAAGACTGAAAATGTCTCTTATTTAGAAACGAAGCAAAAAGGGACTGCCCAGACACTACAGACATTCACAAATCATCGTCTCTTTGAAAACTATTGCTGGATTTAGAAGAAAGGGCTTGTTTTTCAGCTCCTCATTCTTCATACAAAGGGTTAGCTTTCAAACTACCATGTTAAATATTTCTTTTTAAAACAAAATTTAAGCTACTTCCTCTTTGGCCCATCCCTTAAAAACAGTGAAAACCTCTTTACGCTGAGAAAGAACCTCAGGTCAATGGGGGAAAAAAAAAGAACATGCTGTCTCTTTAAAAAGAAAGAAAGAATCCCAGTTGGGAGCGGCCGTCAGTGAAAATGTGATCCAAATTGGCGGTCTGGTGGAAATTCCTCATGGAATATTATGTACAGTTTAAAAACCCTTAGTTGTTTTCTTTTTTTTTTAATTTATGAACACCTAGGCAGTGAAAACTGTTATGTTAATACATACATAGACACACCCAAAACATACAAAAATACTATTATTTCAAACTACTAAGAATAGGACAAGTTCAGTTATCTCCATGCTATGACTTTAAGAGCATTACACTGAAACAAACAAGAATTTAAACGACAATTTTTAATATCCCAGAAATATACCAAAATATACATCTAAGCTTTGGAATTACTGAGGTTAGACTAATGCAAGTGCTGGGTAATCGTACTTAATACACAAGTCTAAGGTTCTGCAGGAAAGAAATTATCTTTGGTATCTGCATCAGGCTAATAATATTAACATTTGGATTTTGCTTTGGGATAGAGCTTGTATGACCCTAGAACCAAACACCCCCCAATCAACTGAGATTAAAAAGATCCATGTAAAAAGTTCCTCCATTTGCAATCCCCCCCCAAAAAAGTTAAAAAGTCACAGGCATCTACCTAGCATAAAAGGTTGAGAAATACAATGCATAGTTGCACAGTGGTGCTGCAAAAATAAAAGAAATCTAGAAAAAAGGAACTAGAGGAGAAATGAAAAGCTGCTTCTTCTTCTTTCAGGGATTTCTCACAACAGGACAGCCTCTTCCAAGCAGTGACGGGGGGAGGGGGGAAGCTCAGAAGTGCACCTCAGCGTGTATTAATCAACATCACCCAGCCCCCAGAGGGTTAAAGCACCCAGCAGAGCAGCCAATCCTGCGCCCAAGTCTTCAGCTCCTCAACCCACCTGCGAAGCCCCCAGCCGCCCCCTCCCAGCACCAGTGCCTGGGATTTTGCCCTGGGGCAGCCCCTGGGGCCAGGACCCCTGGGGTGGCAGCCAGGGGAGACCCTTGCCCCAGTCAGGCCGGCCTCACAGATGGGCTTGGTGCTGAAGATGCCCTTTGTCTTTGGTTTGTTTGTTTGTTTTGAGTTTATACAATCATTAGGAAATCTTTGGTTTTGGCTGGAAATTTTAAAAGAACAAAACAAAACAAAGAAACCGCCCCCTCCCGACTTATAGCAGCCACCGTGACCTGACAAAGCTTCTCTTTCCCGTGGGGGTAGGGGAACTACATTCAAATAAAGATGGACCAGGTTAAGGATGCAGCTTCTGGCCAGGCTGGGGAGTGGGGAAGGAATACAGGATTGTCAAATAATAAAGAAGAAAACTAAATATTTGGAGATTTCTTTTCTTTTTTTTTTTTTTTT